CAGACGCGGCAGCAGAGCGCTGCGAATCCTGCTGCAAGCGAGCGGCGAATTAATCGGGAGGAGCAGCAGAGCAGCAGACCCTTCCCCCCCGTCTCCCTCCCCGCCCCATTCCCTCCCCGGAGGAATTACAGACCCTTCGCAACAAGCTCCTGGGGTTTGACCTTCAGCAAACCGGATCGCCTTCCTCGCCCCCCGCAGCCCCCCTGCTCACACTCACACACACACACACACACTCTCACATACACACACTCTCACATACACACACCTCTCCCGGATCCCCCTCCCCCTGCCTTGGGCTGGGCAGCGCCGGGGGAAGGTTCGCAGCGCGCGCGCACCCAGAGGAGGAGGGAAAAGAGGAGGAAAGGGAGGAAAGGAAAAAAAAAAAAAAAAAAGGAAAAGGATTTACAAATTCGCTGGGTGGTTTTTGTTGTTGTTGTTGTTGTTGTTGTCGTCGTCCTCCTCCTCCCCCCCGCCCCCGCCGCGATGGCAAGGCGGCTCGGAGGGATGCGAAGAGGAGAGCTGCGGGGGGAGGAGGCGGGGTGCTGAGCGCTCCGCTCGCCCCGCTGCTGCTGCTGCTGCTGCCGCTGCTGCTGCTGCTTTGTGTGTGTGTCCTGGATTCGGCTTTTTTTTTCTCCCTTTTTTCTTTTTTTTTTTTTAATTTTTTAATTTTTTTTTTATTGAGAAGGAGCTTGTGGCAGCCGCGCCGAGGAGAAGAAGAGGAATAGGGGGGAAGCCTTTTTAATTCATTTTCGACCCAAATTCTGCATTTCGAGCCTCTGCAGGCAGCCGGACTCGTGGTGTCGGCGGCGGTGTTGTTGTGGGTGGTGGTTGTGCGTGGGGTGTCCCCCCAACCCTCCCCAGCGGAGCGGGGAGCGGAGCCGCGGGGATCCCGCCGGGGCAGCCCCGTCCCCGCGCGGGGGGACGGCGGAGCTGTTGTTGTTTTGTAATAGGATTGTCTGGGTCGCGCCCCCCCCTTCCCCTCCCTCCGCGGCCCTCCCAGTTTTTGTGTCTCTGTGTGTGTGCGTGTGTGCGGTGTTTGAAAATGGAGGTTGAAGATGCCGACTGCCAGCCCCGATGTGCCTCGTGTTTGCGGCTCCTGTGCACGATGTATCACCGCAGCCAGCGCTGAGGGGAGACGGCGGCGCCCCCCGCCCGCCGCCCCGAGCCCGCCCCGCCGCCCCGGAGACAGCGTCGCCCCGGGGCTTCCATGCCTTGTTGTTGTTGCCGTTAATACATCGTGAATATCTGTGTATTTTTGGTGTGGTTGCTCCGGAAGATCAACACCCAGGGACCTCAACAACCCTCCGGTTTGCCGCTCCGAAGGGTCTTGTGCTTTTTTGTTGTTTTTTTTTTTTTCTCCTTCATTTCTTGAGGCAACGTGGATTTATTTACCCTGCCCCGCTTCTCCTCCGCCGCTCGTTATTTTTAGAGGACGGGGAGAGGAAAGAGAACAATTTTGGACTTCTTTTTGCTTTGTTTTGTTTTCGGAAAGGGGGATTTTGTCCAATTAAAGAAAGAGGAATGAAGTCTGGCGCTGGAGGAGAGTCCCTCGCCGTCGTCTGGGGGTTCCTGCTCGTCTTCGCCGCACTTTGTCTGTGGCCAACAAATGGGGAAAGTGAGTACAGTGCGTGCCGGGGGGGTGCGGCGAGGGACCCCGCGGTGAGGGAGCCCCCGAGTGAGGGGCTGCCGGGGAGGGGGCGAGGGCGGCGGCTACCTCTGTGTGTTTGGAGGGGCGTGAGGGGGTCCCTGTGTTCGTGTCTGTGTGGGGGGGCTCCCTGTGTGGGTGTGTGTGTGTGTCCCTCTGTGAATGTGCGTGTGTGTTTATGTGGGCGTTGTGCGTGTGTGTGAGGGGGGGGTCCCTGTATGAATGTGTGTGATGGGGGGGGGATCCCTGCGTGTGGATGCGTGAGGGGCTCCCTGTGTTTGGGGGTGTGTGTGAGGGGCTCCCTGTGTGTGTGAGGGGGCTGCCGAGGGGGTTCCCCATGTGTGTGAGGGGTTCCCTGTGTGTGTGAGGGGGTTCCCTGTGCGAGGGGCTCCCTCGCCGTGTGCGTGTGTGTGAGGGGCTTCCCTGCGTGTCTGGGCTGTGTGCGAGGGGCTCCCTGTTCTTGGAGGGGGTGTGAGGGGTCCCTGTTCGTATCGGGGTCCGTGTGAGGCTCTCCCTGCCCGTGGCTGTGAGGGGGGGCTCCCGCCGTTTCCCGCCGCGGCGCCGAGCGGGTCTCGCCCCTGCCCGCGGGGCTCTGCGTGTTTTCCTCCTGTTACGCGTCTGCTCCTCGAGCACATTTACCAAGCCGGGGCTGCGCGTCTCCCTCCCTGCTGTGCCCGCCTTCCTTCCCCGGAGGCGGCGGCCCGGTTGTACCCACGGGTCGGCACCGCCGCAGCCCCGAGCCCGGCGGAGGGGGCCGTGCCCCTCCTTTGTGTCCCCCCTCCGAGCGCAGGGAAGCGCTCAGGCGCCGCAGCCAGGGCTGCGAGCTGCGTAGTAAACACTTGCAGGCTGGGAAGGACTCCGTTCGCTTTTCCCGCATGGAAGGAGCTTGATCTCTGTCAATATTTAGAGGCTGTATGCAATAACCTGCCGTAGTGAGTGAGGAATTCCTGGAAATGAACGCCTTGCCTTTTATTGCCGCTTTACCGCCGAGGAGGGGTTTCACTCGCTGTGCGCGGGGTGCGGAATTACGGCGGCATCCCGCAATCTAAAGGTCACTGGCTACCGTTCATTTAAAAAAAAAAAGAAAATTAATTCGCACATTGACGCTTTACGGTTTTGCGTAAATAGAAAGGTTTGATGGCCGAACGGGCTGCGATCTTAGGGGTGATGCATTTTTCTATGCGGCCGCGTTGCACCCAGCGCCGAGGTTCGAGCAGCGTGCGAGCCGCATCCCCGAACACCGGGAGAACGCGGATCGTGGTGCGGGGCCCGGTCCCTCCTGCCGCGGATCCTCAGCCCATCCCCGCGGCCGCCCGGGAGCTCGGGAGCTGCCAGAGCCCCGACTTTGTTTTTGTGCGTTTCCAACCTGTGATTGTGTTGCAGTGCCCGCCCCTCTCGGGCGCAGGGGGAATCGAGGGGGCAGGGAGGGCTGCGCTGCCATTGATTACACTGCAATCATCGCCGGATTAATCCCGGGGCTGATCGGTTTTCTCCTGGTATGTCGGGCTCACGCTGGATTGAGGATCTCTTGCATGAAATTAGCCTTCCCTTGTTTCCTGGAGTATCTCTGGAGATGGGGAGATGGTAAATGCGCCTTGGAGTCCAACCATTTTAAACAGTGCTCCCACTCCTTCAGCGTCCGCAGAAACAGGGATGCTCCTGTACTGCATCCTGATGCTTTAATTTCTTCTGCCGTGTGTTTTTCGATACACTCCTGGGGCTGTTGTGTGCCTCTCCCTTTCAGAAAGATACGCGTTGTTGGAGGGAAGGAACGAGGAGATCAAATTTCTCCATTTTAAACGTAAAGGGAAAGAATTTAGGAGGCAGGAGGGCTTTTCTGAAAGTAGTGGTTTCAGATTGAAAAGAAAGGGAAGTTCTTTGGATGCACTGACAGTGAGGCTAAGTACACAAAAAAAGATAAATGAGCAAGAAGCACATAGACAGAGTCTGTAATGCATGTTGAGTATACAATAATTATGTTTTTAAGTCCTTGCAAATTAAGGCCCGGTTTAGGCTTTTGGGCCAGCTAGGACTGGAGAGCTGCAGTCTTCCATGAGTTGAAATTTTTGTCTAGAGCTGTTTTCAAGAGGGAAGATTACTCTTTGAGTTTAAAAACAAAAACCCCGTGCACTTCTTCAGGGAAGGGCTTACAAAGGATCCAGTAGCGTGGAGAAACAGAACAGGAGGAGGAGGAGATCTGCTGTGTTCTTTCACTGCTAGGATACACACTTAGAATTGTTTCCCTTGTCTTACCTGGTACAAAGTACCTTGAAATAAAAACGCTCACCAAGCTCTGGCAATGAAGTAGCACAGGGAAGAGTGTGTTAGGATTTCAGGTTCCAGTCCTCTGAAGTGTTTGTGGTTACCACTTACCTAAAATGAACATCCTGAATGAAATATCTTCTGAAGAAGATCCAAGCATTTAAATATGGAAAGATAGGCTGAAAAACTTGTCTTAGCTGAATACTGCCTCTAATCGATTGTCTTTGTAGTTTACAGTTTAATAGCCTTTGTTTTCACGAGTTATTGCTGAAAGAATGTTGCTGTTAGGGGGAAAAATGATCTCCAGAGCAGATGTTTTACATCTCTTCATATTCTTCTCTCTCCCCACAAGAGTGGAAGGAAGATTAATCTTAATTTTTATTTGTTTTTCATATATACTGTGTCATAGCTAAAAGGCACTTCCATTTTCGGTCAAACAAGCAAGGCATTCCTAAATAGGAATACAAAGGAGTTACAACTGGAGGGGAGAGACCCATCCCTTTAATGCTAATTTATATAGAATGTGTTTGTAGTTATGTGACAGAAACATCTTTAAAATGCAGGTAGCTTCAGTGGAGAGCTTCTGATCCAGAAAAAGTCATTTAAAAATGCTGAGAATTCCCTGAGATTGTGTTAGAACGGCACAAAAGTGGAAATGATAAGACCTTTCATTAAGCTAGAGTTTGTGGTGCTGTACCCGTGTGTTTGATGTGTAAAGCTACAACTGTTGGAGGCTGTTTGATGCTGGGGGTGGGTTTAAGATGAGGCATAAACACGGTGTTTTCTTCCTTTTCTCCCTTGAGCACGATGGGGTTTTGATTTTCAGCCTTCTGTGTATTCACAGAGGGAAGGTCTAGGAGGGAATGGGTTAAACACTTAGAAGGAAAATAATAGTTTTAGGTGTGATAATACTTCAAATTGATGGAAATCTTGATGGGTCTGCTCATGTTAGCGCCGAGCTTTTGTTTGTCTATCCAGGCTGGATGTCGTGTTTCGGATAATGAACAGTAGCTCATGCTGATGCTTAATCTCTCTCCCAGGTTGCTTAGTAAAAGCCCTCATGACCTGCTGAGTTACACACACCTCGCTTTTGCATCAGCATTTTCCTGTACAACCAGTGGTTAGGGAATGTTGGTAACTGGGAGTTGGATAATTCCTGCTGTAATTGAGGTTGTGAATAGAAAATGCCAGAGCCAGTAAGGAGTTGGCATCAGAAAGGGGTGAGCAGGGAGTGATGGTGCCTGGAGTCCAGGGGAAGGAGAGTGAGCCAGGCAGAACTTGGACATTTTTTTTTTTTTGATTGTATTGGGTTGGACTTCTGGTTTGCAAACCAGAACTGGAGCGAAGGCTTGTATGAGTCAGAAACTAAAGAGGGTTAGGAAATGGAAGTGACTTAGTTAATATCAGCCAAAATGTGTTGAACGTGAGGGAGCAGAGGGATGAGTGTGGAAAAAAGATGTGTTGGAAGTTTCAATGTTGAACCAGCATCTGAGGGAGAGACACTGGGGATTTTTGTGTGTGAAAAGTGAAGGAAATTTAACTTAGTTCATATGTTCTGAGACATGAGGGAAGTAAAGGGCTGCAGAGAGCAAGAAGACAGATCAATTAGTTTGACTTCAGCACAACAGAAGACATGATCTATTTTGTTTAATAGGGAAATTGCTCAGATTTGATCAACTACTGTGTTATTTTTGTGTCAGCTTTTCCCTGATGTGTTGCTCCTCCAAACTAATTCTAGGGTGTAGTTAAAGCACATGCCAGTGATGCTGAAATTGTTTTCATCTTGAAAAATACACACAAAATCTAGTGTTAAAGAGCATCCACATGATGATTTTTGAGTCTGTCTTCACTGGTAAATAATTAATTTCTATCAGTATGTGTTACCATGGGAAAAGTTGTTTCAAATCCTGTTTAATTTTCTGCTAAACTGGCATTTACTAAGGAGATCTTGGAGGAGAAATTTTTTAAGCATCTAACATTTAAAATTAAAATCCATTTCAGGACTGAAACTATTAGCTTTAAAGGATAATTCCAGTTCATGTTTAAATAATGCTTTTTCTCTTCCCCAGTAATTTTTGTTTTCTTTTTACTCTGAGGTAGATTTTACCAGTGATCACTGGAACGATTATCTCAGTGAGAGCAGAAGAGGCAGTTTTGTTAAATGATTAATTATATTGTGTGTGTATTCCATCTGCGTGAATTGTGAGCTACCGCAAACTTCATTGTAGAGAAGTTTGTTTATAGTCTTGAACTTTGAGAGAGAGGGAGAGAGAGAGGCAGTAATACATGCAGGAAACCTGTTTTTCTCACAGTGAGTGTTAACTTTGTGATCCCACACAGCAAACAACTTATCTAGCTCATCATCTCTAATGGCTCTAAAGTTCATAACTTACAAAATGTGCTGAATTAAGTTAGTTTATTTATCTGAATTATCTGTAGTTAAATTAATAAACTTCATGAGCACTACTGTACTTGAAAAGCTGATGGCAACTTGCTGAAAAAGTTCCTGAAACTTTGGTTTATGAAATTAAACACATTCTTACTTGGATTTTAGTGTAAAGCTTTCACATTTGGAAATGCTTTCGGATGTTATCAAGTAGCAGCTGGTTTTTATTTATGTGTGAGTGCATACATAGGAATGGGTAAACTGCAGTTCATTATTGAAAACTATTGTGGATGCTAAATTTTTAAAAAAGCTGCAGTTTAAG